TGATGCCGCATTACCTGATTTGCCTGTGATCACTTCGGTAAGCATACCTCTTCGGGCAACTATCAAGCTCTCAAAACATATGTTGGACACAAACTCGGCGTTACGTACCGCTCCTATGAGTTTGGCAGAGCGCAAAAGTGATTCTCTGTTGTTGGAGAGACCTTGCTCATTAGCTATACAAGCCTGTCTGAATGTATCAGAACAAGTAATCAGACAAGAGCTATCCTTCTCATCATTGTACAGGTCAGGGAGAAAGTCCCACTACACACAGATTGTCAGCATGAGAGACATCGGATGATTCCATAAATTGGTGTTCAGAAGCCACGAATACCTGCTTGATACGATTTGTCTTGTTCTTCAAACACACAAAAGCATTGATTTATTCAAATGCAGTCGGAGGGAAAGAGATATGAGAGAAAAGCGGACACTTACCAATTCGCCGTATTGAAGAGACCCGTGACTAGAAGATGCGAAACGCCGTAGTACGAAAGCAGCCGAGGAGGTGGGTAAGGGGAGAGACGACGAGAGAGGGCAAATGTCGCCGGTAGAAACATTAACCAGTAGTTCCGAACCCTTGGGCTTGCCACGTTTCTGTGCAGACACTCGGGTTGACTTCTTCTTAGCAAGTACACCGATCTGGTTCTTGAAAACGACATCGCCTTCTTTCCTGTACCCAGGGCAAGGGACTCCGTACTTGGTGCAACGGAGACAAGCTGGTCGCGTGAGGTCGCACTATGATAGATCACAATCCCTAACGTTAGTTTTCCGTTACGATTAAACACTAGAGCGCTGTACCGGCAGCGTGCAGGAAGGTTGCATACCTTGACCCTTCGTTGGCGGCACAAATGGCAATTGGGACTTTTCTGGCCCGTGTTAGGCATGTTGGCCGCGTTTCGGTGACGATTTGGAGTTCTCGAAAAGAATCTCCTAGTTTTCACTACCATACATGTATACATGATAGTCATTATTAAAGTCGGCAGATCGGTGAACTTAGCAACGCGGCAGCACCCTGGTCAGAACCTGGCTACCTCCCATCCCCGGAGAATACGGCGTGTCATAGCTGAGCCCGAGCTAATAAGCACTAATGTCGGTAGACTGGCGACACGCGAGCTGGCGATTTACTGGAGCCTCTCATCTTCACTAAGGCTAAGTACTTTTGTAGATTTATGATGAATAATAGGCGTTCTATCTTTAGGTGCTCGAGTAGAATTCCCCTAAAGAGTATAGTCTCATGAATATGATCCCAGCGATATCAGCCCTGTCACCGACAGAAGAGGAACCGAATCCGACTCTGCGACCAACGGCCGCAGATTCGTAGCAGAATCAATCTTTCACCAGAATAATCAGTCAAGACTGCTTAAATTGAAGGACTCGAGAAAGCCACTCTGACTGGCTGCAGCCATGCGATGACGACACACAAGCTCTGTGGACAAATCCTTATGCAAATATTCACTGCCTCTCTCGGATCCAGAAAGCTCCATGCCTCGCATGCCTTTACATAGGAGGCGGAGTTAAGGGGGCTTTGAGGGCCTTTCGAACCGATTAGCTCGTTACGATGTAGACCAGGATTCGGACCAGGTTGACGAGTTGATGCCAAGCTTTGATAGGGCCATCCAACGGGAACCTTCGCCTTGGGTCTCTTATGACAACCAACATGGCGTTGGGCACGCAGATCCTGAAGGCTGGGTGTAGTGATATGGATGCCGATCAGCAATCCTGGCCTCAGTGATGGCATTCCAACCTCGTTTCAACAGTCCAATTAAATAGTATAAATCTCCGTCGCGCCGCCTTCCTGCACGAGAACAATGCACGTTGGTTTCCAAAGAAAGCCACAGGCTTACTCCGCCCAGCAGCGTCTTCTATATATCAGCCAGTCTTGCGTACCGCGCTTTTCAATTGTCGACAGTCCATTCCCGCTGTAACAATTCAGTAAACAGTAAACCCTCACTTCCGTACACACCTCCGTGCAACATGGACAAGCGACTCGAGCACGTGTTAAGGCTCTTCCACCACAACGATGGGGACTCCGATGACAGCGACAAAACTGTCTGTCCGGTTGTTTCGTTGGCTGAAGATGCCAAGCAGCCGTTGTTTGGAGACACAACCTTCTACGAATTCAACAAGATTCTCTCGGGTGCCAGTGCCCTGTTCACCGTTCTTGTCATCGGTACTCTTTTAGTCCTTCATGCAACCCACGCGTCGAAGCCAAATGAACAGCAAAAGTATGGCACAGATATCCAATTTCATCTGCCCTGGGACTTGTCGAGCTAACACTTCGTCAGGATTATGAGAATCGCGCTGTTTCTGCCGTTTACTGCAGCTCTCAGCTTCTTGCAGGTTGCTTTCCCCGGTCAGGCGGTTTATATCGAGCCCTGGTCCACCTATATCGAGGCCGTCGCATTGGGCTCGTTTTTCCTCCTGCTGTGCGAATTCATTGCCCCAAGCAGAGAGCAGAGAGATGTTTTCTTCGCCGCATTGCCCCCTAAGCCGAACCCAAAGTCGAAGAAGAAGGCGAACAAAGGTGGCCTAGAATGGTTCCGCGTATGTCAAATATGAGAGTATGCTGGGTTGCGACACGCTGACATACCTCTCATAGCTCAAATGGATCTTCATCTTCCAATTTCCTCCAGTTGCATTGTTTGTGGCCATCCTGACCGTTATAACGCAAGCCGCCGGTGTTTACTGTGAATTTACGACTAGCGTTCACTTTGCCAAGCTATGGGTAAGTTGACTCAGCATCCTCGTCGTTAATTCGTATGCTAACGAGCTACTAGATACGCATCATCACATATGCATCCACGTTTTTTGCAGTAGCTGGCATCCTGCGATTCTATCTGAGACTCAAGGAAGAACTGGCACCGTACAACGCGTTCCAAAAGCTCTTGGCGTTCAAGGCGGTTGTTTTTCTCACCTTTGTCCAGAACATTCTATTCCTCATCTTGGATAGTGCTGGAGCATTGAAGCCAACCGATATCTTGACCGAAGCCGATTTGAGGCACGGAATTCCCAAATTGATCGAATGTCTCGAGATGGTCCCTCTGTCCTTGTTTTTCTTCTACGCATACTCGCACAGACCCTATATCCTCAAGAACATTCAACAACGAGATGAAGAGTCGGCGAAGGACATCACTGCCTACAGAGGGGGTCTGATGATGCTGGTCAAGATGTGGAGTCCTCTTGAGACGATTCGTGCGATCGCCTTCATATTCACTATGCAGAAGGAGAAGAATCAGAGAGTAGCTGGTCCTTACAGTTCAACGGCTTACGAGGCCCAGAACTACAGCACCCAGAGCTATACCCCGCTGAATCACGAAATGGAGAACCGACCTCCATATGATCAGCAATACGGGCAAGGACCCCAAGGCTATAGCCATGAGCAGACAGGCTATGGTCAGGGGCCACAGAGTTATCAAGCACCGCCCGGCTATAGCCACTGATTTACCTAGTCATCGACGGCGGTTATCACAATGTCACAATATACCAATAACGATATATTGGAAGAATGCTGGTCTTCGGAGGGTCAAAATGTGCTTCTACTTCGGTCGCAGGTTCTGAGATTTTAGCGATAGGGTTGGTGTTGAGGTGTTAAGAAGCTCTTTGGATATCACAATCTTTCCCAGTTGTACAGATAGAAGAAATGAATGAACGTTTGATATCTTGCCGGCGGCACGGCTTATACTTGACGCTGTCCTCCGTATCGGCTTCTTGTACATCTGAGACACTCTCATGATTATGCCGCATAGTCTTTATCTCTATCAGTTTGCCTAAGGTATGGATGGGCCACGCATCATACCCGCCGGCAACGTAAGAATGGCACAGTCTTGAACTACCCACTCCGGCACCGTCACTCCGTCTGCAGCCACCCGGCACAGAGGCTTCAGTGTACCTAAATGTTTCACTGAGATCTCGCGTCACTATGGCTAATGCGCGTTCTGTCTCTATGGCACGAGGAGGTAAAGAAACATTCGCTGTATGAGGTGTTAATATTCGACTGACTCCAGCACAATCTCATTATCCAGTACCTCGTCTACATTTAAAGGTTCTATGTTGAGGTCGAATACCCTGAGAGATTGAATGAGGAAAGTCCGCTGACGAACCGAGCGGGGTAGTGCATGCAATGATCTTTGCCGGCGTATTATCCAGGTGTGCACTTTCGTTGAGACGTCTGAGGCTGACTTCCGAGACATCAACGCGCGATGAGTATGATTTTCATGGCGTTTGATTTGTCGTTTATCACTTGTACTTTAGGACAACAAGAATCCAGGTCCCTGGTCCCTGGTCCCATGGTCCAAGGCATGGTTATTACCTTTTCAGAATGCATTCGCCCATTGTCGCCTCTCTCAAGGTCTACCCGCCATTTCGCTTGAGCTTGGTCTCATTCTGGAGGTTGGTTCTGTAAGCCAAGCCAAGAATGTTCAGCAAAGTCTACAACGCGCTGCGATCTGTGGTTCACCAAAAACTGAATTTCTGCAACGTAACGAGGGAGCACTGTACATGGCTCCAGATACGAAAGAAAGGCAGGCACTGGCGAGCATTCTCGCCCGTATAATTGCTGGAATGGAACCAGGACGTCTCACTGCGCCGAAAGATCACCGTGTTTTGACCGACTTGGTGTGGTATTGATGCTGGCTTCGGTTTGTTTTACAAGCAGCAATTGGCTTGCAAAACCTTCACTCGCAAACATCAACAGTTATCAGAGACAAAACTCATGGGTGACTATGAATCTGGCAGAAACCGACGCATCGCGAAAATGAACAATTTTGCGACGATGCGACGGAAGGGAGAGAAGAAAGCAATCAGAAGACAAGATGAGGAAGCCATAGCGCTGCTTTGAAGCCATGATTCTCACGCTTTATAGACTTGACTGTCGTTTGATTGTAGTCCTTATGTCTAAGGCACCACATGAAACCTTTAAGTTCCAGAGGTCAACAACCTGTTTGGCGCGAGAAGGTCTGGAATATAATTACTTGTTAAATGAATTTGAGCATAATAGGATGTCAGGTCTGGTGGTCTAGAGGTATGATTCTCGCTTAGGGTACACCCTATAGCTCAAATTGCGAGAGGTCCCGGGTTCAATTCCCGGCCAGACCCAACTTCAAAACCTTTGACCATGTTGGTCAATCAAATGGTTGAGACTTTTGCTTGATAAATTTTTGACCTGGTCCACACAGGTACGTTCGTGATCCGTTGCAAAATATTCCTAGTGGTGTGCTAGTGTGGGGTTGGCCCCGGTTACTAGCGGTCTCCAACTAGGGTACCAGAGCGCCAACCGGCTCGCTGTGTGGCTCGCGCCTCGTCCACCTCGATAGAGAACGGGTGTGACGCGTAATTTCGAGTCATGAGTTGAACCCGACTTGGTCAAATACCAGCTGGTAATTCGTATATCTGAAAGCAAAGAGATGAGGGTACGTTGCTTTGATTGGCATGCCGTATAGTTGGACAATCAACATGCACAATAAATATATTATATCAATGCGACCAAAAGCTGCCACTTCCACGTCCCTACGACGATGCGAAGGTATAAGAAAAACGCGTCCGAGTCTGGCTTTGGATAATGCTTGATGTTTCAACCGCAGGCCAGCAATCCGTCGTACAAAGAGCCATATGAAGTATCATGCTGATTGAACGAACAACAACTGTGAAGCGTGAAGGGTCGTTTTGAGCCTCACTAAAACTCTCCACTGAGGAGATATGCCGAAGCATGGTTCATCGACATGAACGGACCGCTGCTGACATGCCTATGGCAAGTCGCAACGTGGAGGAGCAAGCAAGGGGTTTCGAACTGTTTGCGTAGGATTGAGAAGGACGCGTCTGTGTCCTATTGCAATCATATCGTCCAATTGCAATATCAGTGCCTAAGAAGGACAGGCAGAGGACAGGCTGACAAAATGACGACGTTTACGCGTTCTGTTGCCTAAAAGACCTCATGGCCGAACAGTGCTTTCTTTCCCAGGCAAAGAAGATACTTTAGACTCGGTTCGAAGCAAACAGGTGAATGAACTTGGGGAAAAAACATTGTCAAAACCAGCCATTCTTTCACATATGCTGCGGCGGGCTTTTGATGACCAACAACAAAAACGCTATGTCTGAACACTACCCATACATCAACTCCGAAGATGTTATGTTCTCTTCTCGGCAATCCAACAGGAAAACCAAATGTCTCGGGGTTTTCAAGAGTAACACCCTCAGCTTTATGAATTCTAAACTTATTTGAGACCGGTACAGTAGGTAGGTACTCATGAGCCCCAACAGTGGAGAAGTTCCGATCTATGCAGCTCGACGCGGAAAACGTAGCATGACGTACATTGGCAGGAGATCTTCAGTCGCCGGGGCCAACCTATCTGTAGTCGGAGCCATTGGGTTTGTGCTTGGGGGTGGCAATAATCTGATCAGCGCAGAAGCTCGTCACCGGGAACGCTACGATTGTCGAGGTTTCACAAGCATCAAAAGGCACAAAGAGAGAGTTGTTCGACCAGCTCAAGGGGGCGGGAGCCAAGTCCTAGGTCGTCCTTTCAAATGACTCCACCCTATTGCAGAACTTCGCGACAACGTTGAGGCAGTGGGAAGGTGTCAGCGAAGACATCCAAGGGTAGCAGGAGGTCCTGTTGCGCTCGGATTCGTTCTTCCAGTCGCGCCCAGCTCAACGCCCAGCCTGTCATCATTGTACATGCTATTCCCGGAGGCCACATGATGAGGCCGACTCTAAGATCTTTCAGAGTACGGAATAACCATCAGTACGAAGCGATGTTCGTCAAGGCTGGCTCTTCGGAGACAAACCAAAATAAACGCGCAAATGACGCAAGATTTTTAGAAAAGAAGCGTCAAGCATGGATGTGTATAATGCCTTGACGTGTGGCGTAGTGTATCAGAGGCTCAAGTCGTGAAATTCGCCAACCGGTTCTCGAGGCTTGTGATGAGAAAGGGCAGAAGGTTGCTGGCGCCGTCACGGTCATTCATCCCATGCATTTCAAGGCACTGATGAAGGCAGACGAGGGCCAGGCGAACAGGGAAGCAATACGTTACGATCGAGACCGCGAAACTATTACGATACAGATGGTGCTTTCCACCACGGACGGCGACGACTTGGAAGTCGCATTTATGCTCAAGATGCGATAGGGCTCACACGGAGCCTGGATAAGACGAAAGGATTACCGAATGCCATTAGGTACTTGCTGGAAATACGCGCATTGGGGCTGACATGAGGGAGATATTCGCGCCTGGACGTCTCAATCTTCTGGAAAAAGGGCCGGACAAGGAGGGATATTTTGGGTTTGCAGCACGGTACAAAGTACAGGCCGTTGGTGCAGTCAGTGTGGAGCCCTTGCCCAGCGACTTGGGGCTCAGGTACGGCATGCAGGTGCATCCTACAGCGGGCGGTCCCGGCTGCCAGGCTGCCAGGCTGCCAACCACCACCTGCATCTTCCGTCTCTATGCGTTCACAATCTCAAAGCGACTTCTTTGACACGCCATCGCCGCCTGACACGGCTCTATTGCGCGAGTCAAGTCTGAGTAGTGCATGTGCAAGCGTCGAGCCGCCTCAAAGAGATTTTCGGAGGCACTACTACTCCCGGCAATCGATGTGTCAAGCCTGTTATGGTCCTCGGTAATAGTCGGTATGGTTGGCCAGAAACCTCTTATCGGGCTATAATCTTAACTTTTGGCTGTATCGTTTTCCCTCGCGACCTGACACCAACGCCGATGTGGGAATCTCGCTGGACGGGGCCTCGATGGCCCTCTCAAGGGTCTTTGGTGAGTTTGGGTCGAGATCGATCCGAGATCGATGTGAGACCATCACGCCTCATCAATGCTCAGGCGAGAGGGTTTTGCGAGGAGAAAAAATGGGTTGCGGACCCGTTACGGGGACTGTGGACTTTGTCAGTCTGTTACGTATAACTTGCACATTGCCCTGCTTCATATCATTCGATTGGCTTAGCCCTCTGTTCACCTGAGTTCTTATGACTCATCGTGTATTTCCAATTCAACGGCTCTAATTCCCTTACCTCATACCTTCGGCCGTCTTTGAGGCTTCCACTGCAGCGAACTGTCGACGACGAGATGGCCTCAACACCGTCCACCCTCTACTCGTCGAGCCAGGAAAAACATGTTGGCAACGGAGATGATATTCTACCATCACCCATAGTCGACAATGAGAAGGGCCTAGGAAGACAGGCTTCTGGCTCAATCCATGCCTCGTCGCCCGGGGACCCCGAGGCCGGGGAAGGCCTAAAGCGAGGTCTCAGCAGTTGGCATCTGCAATTCATTGCGATAGGAGGCACGATTGGTACGGGCCTGGTAAGTCAGCATACCTTTGCGTCTTGTTCGGCTCTCTGACAAGCACAGTTCTTGGGCGCTGGCAAGGCGCTCGCAGCCGCGGGGCCAGTAGGCTGTTTAATCGCATTCCTCTTCGTGGGAACCATTGTCTACTCGATCATGACAAGTTTGGGAGAAATGGCAACATACATGCCCGTCAATGGATCCTTCACCGCATATGCCGCGAGATTCGTCGACCCTTCTCTGTCTTTCTCGGCTGGATGGATATATTGGTTTAGCTGGTCGTCTACGTATGCCTTGGAGCTAGTAGGCTCAGGCCTCATAATTCAATACTGGGACGACTCGCTCAATACTGGAATATTCATTGCCGTGTTCTGGGTTGTCTTCACCGCCATCAACTTCCTGCCCGTTAAGTGGTTTGGAGAATTCGAATCATACTTCGTCTCAATTAAAGTCGTCACGATTATTGGGTTCGTCATCTTCGCTATCGCGATCAACGCTGGAGCTGGGCAGAATGGATACATCGGCTTTCAGTACTGGCACAATCCTGGACCTTTTGCAGAGTCCATCCTTAGTGGCGGCAAGGGGAAGCTCATCGGCTTCTGGTCCGTTTTAGTGACTGCAGGATTTGCATATCAGGGGGCTGAGCTCGTTGGAGTTGCCGCTGGCGAAATTGGTGACCCGGCGAAGAATTTACCATCGGCCATCAAGTGGACTTTCTGGATGATTGTTTCTCTCTTCGTGGGAGTCATTTTCTTCATCGGCATCACAGTACCTGCTGACAATGGCGAGCTCCTCAGCAGTACTAGCGATGCCTCCGCATCTCCCCTGGTCATCGCTGCAAAGCTTGCTGGTGTTCCCGTGCTTCCGCATATCATCAACGCAGTGTTGTTGACTGCAGTATTGTCGGCCGCAAATTCCAACGTATATTCAAGCAGCCGCATCCTTGTCGGGCTCGCAAACGAGGGACACGCACCGCAGATATTTGCTCGCACGAACCGATTCGGCACTCCTCACTACGCCGTGGCTGTTTCTGCCGCGATTGGCTTACTCGGATTTCTCAACCTTTCTGAAAGCGGCACCAACGTTTTCAACTGGCTACTGGACATTGCCAGTATCGCAGGCTTCATTGGATGGTCCACCATTTCAGTGTGTCATCTTCGATTCATGGACGCTATGCGCTTTCGGGGCATCTCCCGAAATGGTCTTGCATTCAAGGCACCTCTTCAACCGTGGTTGACGATATACGGTCTGTTCTTCTGCATATTGATTATTCTCACAAGCGGATTCACGGTCTTCATTCAGTGGAGTACGAGCGGCTTCTTTGCCGCCTACATCAGTCTCATCCTTTTCGCTGTGCTCTTTGTGGGGCATAAGGTCATCTTCAGAACGAAACCAATCAAAATACAAAACATTGACCTGCGCCAGGATCATGTAGCGTAATTCAACCCTCTACGAGACAGACAAGAAAGGAGAAAGGCTCAAATCAACGATTTCCAGAATTATGCTGATGCTCGCGATTGTATATAATAATGCTCAATACCTTTGCATTTGGTTGGAGGCAGCAACCTCAACTACCTCCATTTACGAATCTTGTAATAACATATTAGCGACCATAGTTTGATAGTTATCGAATTTCTAGAAAGACTTTGCTAAGAGCCACTGCGTTTGTTTTGCATGCGCCTTATGATGTGATCTTGAGTACGACAAGAACAGGGTTCGCCTGTCATTACGTCTGGGACCTCCTATGCTATGGATGACTACCGGAACACACACACATACCCTAAGGAAAATTCACCGACAACGGGTTTGCTCTCGTG